CCCCCCCCCCCCCCCCCCCCCCCCGGCCCCCTGAGAATGGAGATGGTATCCTGAGATCCCAAATAAAGAACGCTCGATCGATAGGAAAACAGGGTGGGGAATTTTCCTGAAGACTTTTTTGGGGATTTTCCCAGGGTCTCTGGTCCACAGGATTTAAAATTATGAGTTTGGTGGTTCTTGAGATCCAAAAGGTTGGTGACCCCTGTTCTAGTCCAACTCCCTGGGTAAGAAGAAGACTTTATCCAGTCTCTTCTTGAAAACCTCCAGTGATGGAGCATTCACAACTTCTGAAGGCAAGCTGTTCCACTGATTAATTGTTCTTGCTGTTCGAAAGTTTCTCTCCTTGGTTAGTTTCCAACTATTGCTGCCTTTCTTGCTTTCTGGTGCTTTGGAGAATAGCTTGACTCCTTCTTCTTTGTGGCAGCCTCTCCAATATTGGAAGACTGCTATCATGTCTCCTCTAGTCCTTTTCTTCATTAAATTGGATATACCCAATTCTTGCAACCATTCTCTGCATGTTTTGACCTCCAGTCCTCTAATGAATCACCTTTGTTGCTTTTCTCTGCACACTTTCTAGAATCTCAACATCTTTTTTTACATTATGGCAACCAAAACTGGATGTGGTATTCCAAGTGTGGCCTTACCAGGTCCTTGTTTAAATGATTGTGCATCAGGACTCGCACAAGATGCCTCTCACAATTACTACTATAGAGCGTGTAACTGTGAGAGAGATCTTGCAAAACAGGTTGTAAGAAATGAGTCGTTATCTTAAAAAGACTTCATTACAGTTTTGTATCAGAAACAAAGGAAATGAACTTTTATTTCGTCTATGAATGTAGAGATAACTACATAGATTTTACAATAATTTCAATTATTCTTTTGTGTTTCTGCTCAGAAAACAGAGTATAGATAGTAGGAATAATTTCATTTCTGAGTTTAGATTGCCATCATTGATTCAGCTGAAATTTCATAGATTGATGGTTCATATTTCAGAATGGAGATACTGCTTTTTAAACTTAAAAATCCCACAAATGAAGGGTTTACTTCAGAATTTGATAGGAAATCAACTGGCCAGGATTATTGTTGCTGTATTCAGATTCAAAAGTTGTCAGAATCTGATATGAAGCCAAGAACAAGATGATAACATATATTTAATAAGGATCAGTAATTATGCTGTTGTTCAGGATAAACATGGTTTTATAGAAAGCAGGAAAAATGTTTCTAATAAATTGATTATTTTGAAATATCAGATTGGATAATTGCATAGAAAGAGAGCTTATAGTGTATAGTCCATGTTTTTAAATGGTAAGGGTTTTTTTGATCGAAAGGAATTTTTTTGTATTGCTCTATTGAATGTAAATGCTTAGTTTAAGATTTGCTTATCATTAAGCTATAAAAGAAAATGTTTGTTTAATGGTACAGAAAAATGCATATCGAGGTTATCTTTTTCTTCATAACTTTTCTCTATCTGGAACTTTTATCTATATTAGAAAATTATAAAAGCTGGATTTCAATTGAATTAAGACGTATGCAGAAAATACAGTATTGCAAACTTGGCAGTGACTTATCTCAAAGCTATCCATAACTTATTAATATTTTACACCAATTTTGTTAATGCTCTGGGAAAACAATTACATTGCGCAAATAAGAAGAATCAACTGGAACATTAATAAGAAAATTAAGGAAGAGCTGTCCTTAGTAAGGTTTAGTAGCATCAGATTGTGACTGATTTCCCACTTGAAGAATCAAGTAAAACCTAATGCAGGTTCTAACAATATCAAAGAATATATTTTAAAAAACCTGAAATTGTTGAACTTTACAAATGTAGAATATTAAAAATATAGCATTCATCTTAATAATTTGGAGAAGGTGGTGGAAATTTTTAATATTTTTCTGTACATTATGTGTTTTGATCAGAACTTAATATTAGGTAATTATGCATTAAAACATCTTCTCAGGGCAAAGATTAGTTCACTTCAAAACATTTTCTCAAGGATTTTCAATTTATCCCATATTATTATAAATTACCTGACATCTGTGGAACCAATATCTGCAAAGATAATATAAAATAAGTTTAAAGAAGTTTATTTCTATCATACAGTACATTCTAGTATTTTTGTGCTGTGCTGATGAAAGATATGGGACAGTATCAGGTGCAAAGTATCAGGACTATCCTTAACGTTACAGCAGGGGTGTCAAACTCGTGTCGTGACGACAACGTCATGTGACGTATTGGGACTTTTCCCCCATTTGCTATACCGGATGAGGGCAGGGCCAGCACATGACGCATCTGGCCTGCAGATCACGAGTTTGACACCCCTGGGTTACAGCATAGAAGATATATTCAAACCTATACACAAGCATCTGGTCAACTAAAGTTCGTCTCTAAATTGGCACCAGATAAGGCTCAACAGAATTTAGGAGAGGTTAGACTTGGAGTGTTTGTGGAAACACAACAATTCTAAACTGATGACCCACTTAACTCGGCCATCCAGCTCTGTTTCCATTTCTGCAACAAATACAAAAACTTGGATCTGGGTTTTATTTTCACTGTATTTTTCTTTGAATAGTCTTGCAGACAAAAATGAGAAAAACACTATAGATAAATGGTGTCATGTTTCACCAAATACTGTATTAGATAGGAATAACCATAGCTCTTCTGGGGAAGAAGCAGTTGCTATCTGCAAGAGAAGGGGGAAAATGTAAATGGTGAGATATATTTTTTTTATTATTAAAATGATATTAAGAATCCATGTGATATGAATAAAGAATGGGAAACTGAATCCCTTAAAACTATTTCTCATTGAGTGCAGTGTGGCTTATTCCAAGCAAAGCAGAATTTCAACAGAAATATACCAATATATAGAAGAGAAATCGGCACATTCTGTGTTTTCCTTTTCTTGCAAAATGAAAACAAAGAATTGCAATGGTTCTTGTTCATTTTATTTTGCTCTTGAACATTTTTTGTTTACTATTTTAAAACAACTTGTTTAGGATCAATGTATCAAATCAATGTTTCAGATAATGTAGCAAATAAGAAAATAAAAGCAATGTTGACTAAACTTCAGGCGCTTGTAACAAAATGGAAAACTGCTTCTTAGTTAATTTTTTTTCAATTAACTAGGGTTTTTTTTTTCTTATATTTTCAGATACGGGTTGAAACCAAATGACCAGATCTTGGCAGAGGAAAAACATAAAGAGCTGTAAGAAATTCAATGTTACTTCTTAAGTTTGATTTTCTATTAATTTAATAGAAAGTATTCTTTTTTTCACCATTTATTTATAGCAGCTTTGATCTATTTTTCATTAAAAAAAATAAAACAAATGTGTTTGTATTAAAAAAATAATGCAAACTTTTTTTTCCTTCCTTCATCCTTTCATCCAAGGGTTGGAAGGTACATTGGGGAACTTCTAAAGATTTATTAAATGAATTTGGCCCTGTTTTATGACCTTTCTTGCCACGGTTGTTAAATGAATCATTGCAGTTGTTAAGTTTGTAACATGGTTGTTAAGTGAATCTGGCTTCACCCATTGATTGACTTTGCTTGTGAGAAGGTCACCAAAGGGGGAATCATATGACCGCGGGACACAGCAACCGTCATAAATAGGAGTCGATTGCCAAGCGGTTGGTTTGGATCATTTGATCCTGGGGGATACTGCAATGGTTGTGTCATGCCCTTATTAGAGTCAGACTGAGGGAGGGGAGGAACAGCCAACAGGGAGTGGAGGTGTGGCTCCGGAGGTTGTGGAGGAGGCTGGGGAAGGGCAGAGTTTGGCTGAGCAGTCAGAGAAAGACCCAGGCCCATCCCCTCTCCATCCTAGGACACGCAGGGAGGAACGTAGAAGGAAACAACTTGGCTTACAAGAGAGGAAGCGGCCATGATCCCCCTCATTGGTTGCAGCTAGGGAGACTAGTACATAAGAGAGACGGTTACAACACAGCATTGCCAGAAGCAAAGCGTGTGTTATTTTGGGCTGAAGTTATCTTGGTTGGCATCCTTCCAACAGACCGTGCCTTGTTATCTCCTTGAAGTTGATAATTACTTATCCTGGTCCATTGTGGAAATTCCTTCATTGTAGCTTGTTTTGGTTTTTTATTTCACCTTTATCTGCTCATTGAGTTCAGACTGTATTGCTTTCTTTTGAAGACTAGTTTTGAATAAGTTTAATCTCCAACTGAGAATTATTGAACAGTGGGGCCAAGTTGGAGGCATTAAAGGTCATTTATTTACGTTTTGGATTTTGTTACATTTGTGTTACACTCTGGGTCATCACAGGTTGTAAGTGTGAAAAATGGACACAAGTCACTTTTTTCAGTGTCGTCGTAATTTTGAACGGTCACTAACAGTCACCGTTGTAAGTCAAAGACTACAAAAGTTCATTTAGTTTCATTCCTAAAGCTGACTCTCTGTAGTTTCAAAATCCAAAATTCTATTGTTGGCCGTAGTTGTATTTGGTCGAATACAGTTCTGACCAAGGCTTCCTGAGACAGTACCAATCACACGCTTAGTCCCAAAAACCCTCTTTTTATTTCAACGGCTGTGAATTATATGCATTCACAGCCCATAATGAGTTCCAAATAGTTTGTGATGAATAGTCCAACAGAAGTTCTGCCACAGTCTTTTCAAGATAAGGCTGATAAGCACCCATCTTTATCTCCCTTGAAATGCTACCAATGACTAAATTGTCAATTAGCTGGCCCAAGGGAGCACAAAGTCAACACGGAGCTTCAGAGTTTAAACCAATCAGAACAGACAAAGTTGCTTCCTGCAAAGGTTCCTGTCCCTTTGCTCCTTTTTTATGTCTTATGGGAGGGCCAATCACCTCCAAGCCTTACCCCTGAGTCGCCCCTTTTGTCTTAACTGTTCTTGCCTTCTGGCAGCTCTGCGCAAGCGCGCACTGGGAACAGGCTCCCCCAGTTCCTCTGCCTCGCTGATATCAGATTCTGGAGGCTCCAGAGTCAGCACAGAACTCCCAGATGGTCCTGGCTCGATCTCTGTGTCGGATGCAGATCCCGCGTCTAAGCCCTCCCCAGACTCCAGGACTGGCCCATGTTCTTCCCCACTGTCTGACTCTGCTGCCGGCTCCACAGGCCGCCTCCAAAAACACTTCCAGAAGAAGCCCTGTGATGCAGTGACTTCAAGTTCTCAGCAGTTAAAATGTTTATATAAGTGGAATAATTGCTTTTTATCAGCTCCGAAATCTTGGTTTGGGTTACTTTGTTGTAGAAAGATTTGCTTGCTCCATGAATTATGCAGTGCCGTTTACTTTATGCAAGGGTATATTACCCATGGCAAATGAATGTAAGATTATTATCTCACAGTCAAAATGACATGTATAAATGGTAGAATCAAAGTGATTTCACAGTCAGCTTTTCTTTCAAACTTTTAGATGTTTCCTGTGTTTTGAATGACAGCTTTCTCTTTTGAATTAAAGTATCTTCTAAGAACTTTTTCTTTCTTTTACTTCCTTGCCTAATCTGCAGAGCTGGGATCTCAACGTGGTCTCCTGTCCCAGCATTATTAGTCTCCGCCCTCTTCAGCTTTTTCAACAATCAACTTCTCCCTCATAGATACAAGCATCCCCGATATAATGCAAATGATGGGAAAGATCTCCAAACTGGGATTGGTCGCATTTGCCCAGAGGGGTTAAAAGTTGGTCAGCATATAGGTTTTAATAATAATGACATAACACATCATTCATTATCTCTCTCTCTATATATAAAAGTGAAATATCACTCATGCATCATCAAATCTCCAGAACCGTAAAGCCTACAAATTTGAAATTTGGCATGTATGTTCCTCTTGGCTTCTAGGTGCTCACTAAGAAAGTATTTTTTGAAATGACCATCAGAGCATTAGTATTTAGTATATTATTATTAATATGCTCTGATGCTAAGGAGTTCTACTCTCCCTCCCCATCTGAAAAGAAATCTAAATGCAAAGAGAAGTTTCAGTTCCACTTTTACTTTCACAGCACCAAACCGCTTTAGTACAGAACAGTTGAGCTAAGCCACACCCAGGCTCTTTGCTGTCTCCTTCTTGTTCACACAGCAAATACTCTTTCAGTTTCCAAATAGCCCTCAAAACTCTCACACATTGACAGGACTCTAGCCAGATGAATACCAATGGATGCTGGTAGGCACGGGCAGAATGTTTTTCTCCTTATTGTCCTCCCCCAAAACTAAGCCAGACCACATAGTTTTGTAGTGAAGCACGGGTATCAAGCTAGTGTATTATAATCACATTGTCACCAAAACAATGTATCATATGCCAGTAATGAAAAATTGGTTGAAAATGTAGTTGACAATTAGCAGGTTAAAATATTGTGGGATTTCTGAATACAAGCTGATAAAGCCTTGGCCCCATAACACACCAGATTTAACTGTGGTTGAAAAGAAGAAAGTGTGGATAATTTATATGTCAATACCAGGGAATAGCAAAATAGAATTGGAGACTTTCATAAAAGATCTGAACACTGAAGTTGAAAGGTTATGGCATAAACTGGCCATGGTGATCCCGGTGATTTTCTGGGTACCATACTCTGGGTAGCACACCAAAAGATCTTGGATGCCAATGAGAAAATCTGGGCATTGACAAAATTCCCACCTGTCAATTAACAAAAGGTCACACTGCTTGGATCCTCACGTAGAGCAAGCCAAAACATTGTGACCGCCTACCTTCTGGAGAAAAATTCAGTGAGTATGAAGGCCAACACCAGCTAAAGAACTGGGAGCAGGGATTTTACATTGTTGTATATGTGATAATAGTAGTAGAACTTGATAGAATCTCCCATCAGAAGCTGTGCTGGCATCTTTAAAGTTCTAAAAACTTGTACAATATGGAAAAATACATTGAAAGTAATATAGTCTTCTAGCTAATATACATTAACTCTGTTGTATTTGGAATGAAATTATCAGCCAAAGAATCATCCAGAAAATCCATCCTGTACGGTAGGGGTGGGCAAATACACCCCTTTTACGACCTGAGGACTTTAACTCCCAGAATTCTTGAGCCAACCATGCTGGCACAGGAATTCTGGGAGTTGAAGTCCACAGCTTGTAAAGGGCCCATAAGCGCTCACCCCTGATCTAGATTTATCTCCATTGCTCCCCATTGTGGTTCAGACCAGGGGCCTGCATGGCATAGATAAATCATTATCATAATCACATGCTATTTTTGCATAGCTTCTGATGCATCAGAATTTCAAAATATTGATTAATCTGGATCTTGCTATCTTTCAGTGAGATGTATTTTATAATAATCAATACTCCCTGAAGATGTGTTTTCACTGAAGGTCAGCCAAGCTGACTGTGACTTCCTATTTAAAAATGGTTCTGCATAGTTGACAGGATGAAGGAGCGTTCCAGCTCTGAGAGTTATCACCCTTATAACATCTCAAATGGAATCTTGCTCCAGTACGATTTTCAAATCAACATAAACAAACTGGTCCCCCTCTTCTGAAATATTTGTTTTAAAAAACAAACTTAACTCTCTTTGCTGCTTCTATTTTAAGATAATTTACATGAGGATATCAACACACTGTCTTTCTGCCATAAATGTCCAAAGATTTAAAGTGTTTGCATTTTTCTGCCACACATTGTTGGACACTCCATTCCTTTTTTTAATTCTGCTGGGATTTTTTTTTTTTAAAAAAACAAGAATAGGCTTTGTTTCACCTTTAATTCATTATTGCTTTGTCTTTGTAATTTTGAACAAAATGTAGGGAATTTTGTTTTTCTCTTAAAACAGGAGTCTCCAGCCTTGGCAATTTTAAGACTTATGGATTTCAACATGGCTGGCTGGTGAATTCTGGGAGTTTAAGTCCACAAATCTTAAAGCTGCCATGTTTGGAGACCCCAGCCTTAAAACATTCTAAATGGGAATGATTATCCTTGGTCTCCTGATTATCTTGGGCCAGGGGTGGCATTGCTCACTCTTATCCTAGAAGAGGAAGAGAGATTGTCTTTTGTAGCTCCTACATTAGGGGATTCATCCAGGAGTCAGTCTTCTTCACTCTCCTTTTTAACATCTGTATGAAACCACTGGGTGAAGTCATCCAATAGTTTCAGGATGGTAGCCAAATGTTGATGATCCACAACCTTACAGTTTCACTTCAGATTGGGTTGGTTGGATTGTTGGTCTGTGTCTGTCTTGTTGGGTTGCAGAACTGTCTGGTTTGGTTCTGCAACCCAACAGGACAG